GGGTGTGTGTGTGTGTGTGTGTGTGTGTGTGTGTGTGTGTGTCAGCTCAGAGCTCAGAATCAGGTGCTGAAGAAGGCCGTGATGGACGAGCAGACCGCCTCCTGCTCCCTGAAGGTATCTGCCCATGTCTGGCCCGTTCAAGTGGTGGAGGTCTGTTGTTGTGTGTTCATGTGAAAATGAAACTAACTGCCAGCAGGTGGCGGTAAGTCACTGATTTTTATCACTGAATCATTCATTCAATTGATTAATTCGAATGGCTGATTCATTCAGGAATGAATCAAGTGACTGTCTTTATGAATGGGTAATCATGAATCACTGACTCACTAGATTCATTTAAAAAAAACGTTCATTCATAAACGTGACCTCTGTGTTTGAATGGAGATGCGCAGCGGCTGAGCTGTGACTTTGTTTTAAACTATTTTCAACGACGAAATAGAGCAAAATCAGACAATAGTGTTATAGTCAGACAATGTAAGTCACTTAATATTAACTTCTTGTTTATTGAATTGTATTGTATTAAATCAGTATCACATTTACGAACTCCTTTAAAAATAATTAAAAGCTGGCACTCATCTTAGTTCATCTCGATCTCACATCTATAATCAATGAAGCTCTCACTTTGCTTATGAAAGGATTCGTGAGATACGTCTGTGATGCATTACTCAACGCTGCAAAAACACGTAGAAACATTTGAAGCTCCCCTGAGCGCAATCACAAGTATGATGATCGGGTCAGTCGCACTGGTGCTCCTAAAAAATGTTTATAGTCGCACGCAGTAGTTTTCAGTCGCAAATGCGACTGAAATGGTCGCACTGTAGAGCCCTGTCATGTCAAATTCCGTTTGATTCATTTCATTCAAGGACAGCAGGTATAGAATAGCTCCAGATTAGGCACCTGCACCCTGCTGGACAAGAGGTAGAGAAATCATATAAGTTAAGCAGTGGCGAACTTCAGGGTTCGGTGCTTGGTCCTCTCTTTTTCTCCATATACACAATATTACAAAGAACATCCATGCAGATATTCATACAGTATTAGCCCATGTAAAAGCAGGTTATCAGAATGGGGAGTTTCACATCTCACCGGCGAGACTTCAGCTGTTGGCTGAGGTGTGTGTTATGATAATGTTGTGTTATGTCTGTAGTTTTATGAAGCGGATGAGCAGTACCGTCGACAGGAGGCTCAGCTGAGAGCGCGGCTAGATCAGCTGGAGAAAGAGTCTGAGCAGCATCAGGCCGTCGTCGTTGCCCACAACCGCAAATACACAGACGCCATCGAGAAACTGCAGAACGAAAAAACCTTTCTGGAGGTCAGAGACACATTCAGATGCTGGAAACCCATTGTGTTTGTTAGGGATGAACGAGAGTGCTCGAGCGTCATGACAACACTAAATCACTCACACTTTTCACAATGATGGATGTCAGTGGCATAACATGTACAGGGGGTTGTTTTGGGTCATGGATCATTCAGCGCATGATCTAATGTGAGCATACAGGCCTTGAGATGTGTTTTGAGCCTGACCGCTGGTTTAACCCAAAGCTCGTGTTGTAGGATTCGATCTACTCGAGCACTGAAAATGCACCCGCTTAGTGCTCCTGATATGTGACTGATGCTGATGTGTATATGTCCATGAGGAGATGTAAACGTGTCTGTTTAATGATGTCAGGTAAAGGCTCAGACGCTGGAAAGAGAAGCCAAGGACTGTCGAATCAGAACTGAAGAGTGGTAAGAATTCACATTCAATCATAACTACAGTGTAACGACTATCTCTGATCCTTCATTCAGGATGTCTGTTTCTGTTGTGTCCCATATCCAGATGGTAATTAAAGCACAGTGAACCAAACCTAAGTCAGCTGAGCTTCTTTGCTTTGTTAGTGCTGGTCTGCTAGTGAACACTTCATCCGTGCTGTGCTGTAACCTGTACATATGAGCGTCTAAATCAAGATCAGCAGACACACAGACAGTGCGAAACAGATCTTAGTCAGATGTCTTCTGAAATCTCTCCTTCATTACATATAGCTGTGTAGCTGACAGTGATGTTGAATAGCTGGTGTGTGTGTGTGTGTAAGTCAGCAGCAGCTGCTGAGGAAGTACCAGAGTGAAGTGAGCAGTCAGTTAAAGCACAGCAGCAGTGTGATCCAGGAGAAAGTGCCCTTCAACGACACCCGTGAGTATCACACACACACTCTCATACATACACACACACACACACACCCACACGTGTGTTTGGTGTTTAGTCATGTGTGTCACTGTGAGTGTTGTGTTTCCTGCAGAGCTGAGTGACTACAACAGTCTGAACGTTCCTCTGCAAAACAGAAGGCATCAGGTGAGGTGACTGATGCAGCAGTGCGAACACGTGTCAGTGATAGAGCATCATTAACATTGTGTGTGTGTGTGTGTGCAGCTGAAGGCTCGTGACGTGGCGGC